AGCGGCAGAAACAATGTGTGATAAACCGACCGTAACCCCCTTCCCAATCCCCCTGTGCCACTGAGGGGGGGCACAGGTTGAAGCCAGGAGTGAAGTTGAGCCCGGGAAGATGGGAGGGGTGGGGGGAGGTGTTTTAAGATTTGATTTTATTTCTCATTGCTCTGCTCTGTTTTGTTTGGTAATAAATTAGATGAATTCCCTCTCTAAGTTCAGTGTGTTTTGCTCGTGATGATAATTAGCGAGTGATCTCTCCCTGTCCTTATCTCGACCCATAAGCTTTTCATTACACTTTTCCTCTCCTGTCTAGTTAAGGAGGGAAAGTGATAGAGTGGCTCTGGTGGGCACCTGGCCCCCATCCAAGGTCAACCCACCACACAGACACAAGTATGTAATCTCTCATGTAAAGTGTCCTTGATACCTACAAATGGAAGATGGCAAATGTGAAACTAATTTTTAAATAAATTGGAGGAATCTAAAAAAAAAGATGACATGTTTTCTACATTTCACCTTGAGGTGTTTTTTTTTCCTGACAGGATGATAGTTAGGTAACCTTTTTCACAAAAAGCAGTATTTTTGCTAAGCTTTTCTTTTTTCAATTGTAGATGTAAGACTTTCTTTTTTCTTTAAAAACATATTTGTATTTACTGAAGCAGTTCTCAGCACGTTTTGTTCTTGTAAATATTAACCTTACTAACAATATTTTCCCCAAAATAACTGGCTAAAAGGATAATAACGTAATTGGCAGGGAATGGTGCAGTTATGTGACAGGACTATACATGTCTTCATATGTATCCTAGGTACATAGGACATACAATATCCTAAATATGCAGGTTCAGCTTTGTATAATAGCCTGTTAGGACGTAGCAGTATTCAGTGGTCTGGTCTCACAGATAGAAGTGCTCCAGTTTTTCAATACAATTGCCTTGTATGCCCTCAGATGTAGATTTCATATCTTCCTGGATACCAAATTCATGAAGCCCATGTTGCAGACAATCATTACCACTGAGAATGAAATCCCATTCTTCATATCAGCTCTGAGATCTTTCTCCTACAGATAAAGAACTTGTGTACTTCTGAGTCAACACTTTGAATTCAGCATTTTACAGTCACCAGTTTAATGAAAGACATACGTGTCTTCGGTGCATTAGTTCCAGTCCCCTTTCCATGCAGTTCTGCCACAGCAAAAATAGAGAACTGTGGGAAATACAGCCTCTAAGGATCACTGTAAATACTTTTTCATTCCACCAGGCGGTATTCTTTCACTTAAATAAGAAACAACAGTTTCAGTAGCACCTATCTTAGGTTGTTTGATTTTGGCATTGGTCTTGGGGGCCTCCTTTCAAAGCTATAGATGGCAAATATGACTGCTGTGATGGTTCCCACTGTGCATCCAAAATACCATGACAGGACAGTGATCAGTCTTCTTAACGCAGATTAAAAGATTGTGTCAGAGACAGTGATGTCACTCTGAATCCCAGAAGTTGGGTTTATAATTAGTACAGGTACTGCTGGGACAACTAAGCAAAAATAAGTTATTAGATGTTTGCTTCAGGAACAACCCAAGTTTCCTCCACTTCTCATGTGTGCTAAGGCTACAACGAGTCCCATATAAAGTTGTTTCCAAAACAACATAATGAATGCTGGCTCTGACAGGTGAAGGAAGAAAAATAATTAAGGTCTGAGCATATGTATTGTATTTGGTCTTTTTCCAGAAAGAAAAAATTCCAGCAGTCACAAATACAAAAAACCCAACCAACCAACCAAAAAAAACTTGACTTAGTTACACTAAACATTCTCTGTTGTATTTTGGAAAAAAATATTCAAAGATAAAGTAAAACATACAAGGGTGAATAAAAAGTCAGTTGTCATATATGACAATATCTATCAGAATAAGAAAAACTTCCACCTGAGTCAGTTTGACACTTTCTGTGTATTTTCAACAGATACACTCCAAAAAAAGTGTTTGCTTGAAAGTTCTTGCAGGAAGGAGCTTAGCTTTCAAGATAGATTTATCTGTTACAGAGAGGTCTGCTATTGGTTTAAGAGAAACATGTGGAATGGACCTATATAGGGGCATGCTCACTGACTGCTGAAGCAGAAATGAAGATGTGGACAGCTTGGTGTGTGGCCATGTACTTCGTTGGAGCAAGTAAGGCATCAGTAGAGCCATAATACCTGCCCTGCTCTGGGAGAATGTAGCTTACTCGTTTTACTGTGTTTTTGTTTTGCTTTGCCTTATAGGAGCTGAAATCACCCAGATCTCAGATCTTGTACTGAAAGAAGATGAGAAAGCTACTCTGACATGCAGTCAAAATAATAATCACAATTATATGTCCTGGTATCTGCAGCAGCCAGGAAAGGGGCTGCAATTGCTCTATTCTTCCATTGGTGCAAATCAGGAGCAAGTGGGTGACATGCATATTGGATACAAAGCTAAACGGTTAAACCTCACAGACTTCTATTTGGAGATTTTATTTGTGAAGATGAACCATTCAGCTGTCTATTTCTGTGCCAGCAGTTTGGACACAACACTTCAAAGTCACTTGCTTTCTTTACATTAATTTCTCTCCTTTCCAGCACCTTCCCTCAGAAGGGAGTGGGTCTCAGCACAGGAAAAGGGTATGTAGGCCTATTGACAAACCAGGTGTTGCCGAGCAGTTGGAACAAGAGAGGCAGAATAGGTCTTTGAAGTGCAAGTTAATTGCTGAACTCTTCTTTCTGATCAGCCATTTATTCTCTATCTCATCAGACAATCAATGAAGATTGTTACTCAAATGCAGACATAAAATAAAGGAAATGGAAACTGGCTTATACCTTCTCTCTATGGATGAGTTCTGAGGGTTTGCTTTTCTTCTCCCAGACAACTTTGCAATGTTCCTCATTCAAAATCTTGTGGCTGTCTTTGACTTTGAGCTAAGCCCTAGTATGAGCACTGTCCAGAAAGCATCTATATTTTGAAGATAAAAATGTAGAGGGATGAACAACCAGGATGTGAATGTAATTTTATTTACTATATAATCTCTCCCTGATGGAATATTTCAGACTTGGCATGAAGAGTCTTGTGTCTTACACACAAAGACCTACCAGTGTCTTTCTAGCACCGCCGTTCTCCCAGATAGTGTCATTGATGCAGTGGAATTACTCATAGCATGAGGTACTCTTTGTTGTAAGCATTCCAGGATGATAATATAACAAATTGTCCTAAATTGTCCTACAGCAAGAAAGCACTAAGTCAAGTCCTTGTGATGTGTAAAAGTCACCTGCATAATTTGCTAGTTCTGAAATAAATAATAATAATCTGTTTTCAGACAGAAAGTTCTGGAACAGTTTAAAGAAAGGATGTAGAATGGGACCACTCCATGTGTCCACAGACACAGCATCCACATTCTGAGATTATTCTTATCCCAATCTGAATTATGTCAAATTATATTGTAAATGCTGTAGGGCAAAGGAGTATCTCTACTATCACATATTCAGGATAAGCATATTGAACTTACAGGGAAAAATTCAATTTGTGGTTACTATGCAGCATTTCTTCATTGGGAAAAGAGTTATTGGATTACAGTCACATCCCCTGGGGAAAAGGTGAAAGAACGTTTCTCTCATTCATTTAAATATCAACTGACTGGCTAGGGAGCAGTCTTGCAGTAAAGCAACTGAACATGAGTAAGCAGCAAGCCTTTTCAGCAATGAAGGCTAATTACATTTTTGGTTGCATTAACAAGAGTGCAGAGTTGAAGCATTTGTGAGGTTATATTTGGAATAATACCTCTATTGCCCATACACACTCCCACCCTGCCCCAGACCCAGTACAACAGAGATATCAACAAATTGTAGACAGTCCAGCAGAGGGTCACTAAGATGATCAGGGGACTGGAGCAAAAACATAAGAGGAGAGGCTGAGGGAATTTATTTTGTTCATCTTGGAGAGGAGCAGGCTAGAGGATGGCTATTTGTATGACTCCAACTGCGTAAGCAGAGTTGCAGGGGCACAGTGGAAGCCAGTGGGAACAAGATGCAGCAAGATAAATGCTGATTAGACATAACAAAAAATGCTTCCTCTTGAGAGTGCTTCAGCACTAGAACACATTTCTCAGAGAGCTTGTCAAATCTCTGTCCTTGAAGATATTCAGAAATCACATGCTCAAACATGTGATTTTCACATGCTCAAACAAGACAAAGCTCTGAGCAATGCGATCTAGCTTTGGAGTTAGCCCTGTTCTGAACAGGAATTTGGATTGAGAGACCTCCAGAAGTCCCCTGCCATCAACATTTTTCTACAAGTATATGATTTTTATCATCTTGTTTTCCTGTTTTGAAATACCGAGAAAAAGCATGGTGGGGTTTTTTTTTCTTTTTTTTTTTTTTTTTAAATTTGCAAAAGAAGGTCAACAGCTCCCCCAAAACCACAAGTCTTTCATTTTTTCTATGTTGCACAAAGGAAACAGCAGCTGCACATGCAAAAGCCATCTGCAGACTTCAGTAACAGGAAGATTGTGTGATAACATGAGACAAAAACCCCACCGGCTTTCACAAGGCCCGTATGTGTCACTATTTCTGTCCAACTGTAATATGGTGAACAGAGAGCTGCACCTTGTGCCTCATCTTGAGACGATGGGTGGTGTTGTGGTAAGAGAGGCTGATGTGTTATCAAAACGGTTTTTTTGAGTAAATGTCAAACCACATCCTGTTTTGGCTAAAGCTCAACTACTGTTCTCTTAAAGAGATATTTTCAAGCACATTTTGGCATGTCATCTGCTCTGATTCTGAGGTACTGTTTTCTGCTGAGGCCTTCAGAGATATTTCCCGCCTTCTGTTGAACACCCTGGCTATGCTAGACAGAAGATCTCTTCAGGGTCTCCACGCTATGGAGAAGATCTCTTCAGGGTCTCCATGCTATTATGAGAGACATAGTATAATTGTAGAGATGTGGATATATATAAATATGAACTTTAAGACATCATTTTGTCTGAAGTGGTCTCCTGTACAGTTAGAATGGGTTAGGACAAATGTGCATAGACCAGAACTCTGTTCCTCTCCTTGGACCTAAAACTCAGCCCCATCACAAACATCCTATACAAAATGCTCTTGAAAGTAAGTATGATGTACACAAACTTCCCAGCTGTAGCACTTCTCTAACAGTTTTCTGAAAAGTAAGGGAGAAAGCAATAAATAAAAACCAACAGAGAAAAACATATCTTTAGAAAACTTTACCAGATAAGGATATTTTTTTTTTATTCTGCTCATTAGGAGAACTTGTTCAGTGCTCATTTGCAAAAGTTATAACTTGGCTGCCCTTAGCTGAAATACCACGTTAACTAGTAATTGTATTAGACTTTTCACATTCACATTGGTATGACTGATTAGGAATTAGTCTGAAGAATGAGAAGTTGGGGGGATCAAATGAAACTGGATTTGGAGTCTTTCTTATGGAAATATAATTTATTCTAATTCTGCAGTATATTTAAGGAAATAAGGTACTGTAGTATGTGGAGTCAGTGACATAGCAAAGTGTTCTAACTGCTTGCTAGAATATCAGCATACAACTTTATGCTACAGGTAGGGCTGCTGCTCTAAGTGATATTTTTATGCTGAAATATTGAGTTCTAGCAGTGAGTCTCACGGAAGATTTCATGACAGTAGACAGAATTTGGCTGTTCACATCCATGAATGCTTGTGTCTGTACATGTACAATCTTGCACCCATGCATACTGTTATGAATAGCTGTGCCTGCCAGAAAATGCAAACACAGGACACATTGAGGCACATACACACATGACATATCTCTCTTTGCATACACAGGTGTATGTATAGATAAACAAACTGTCAAGGAGGAAAAAAATAGTGGTTTAACTTACCTTTGAAGATACTACAATCTAAAAACAGAAGAAAAGAAATACGAGATATTTGATCTCAGATATGTATCAGCACCTCTTTTAAAATCTTGTTTGTTCAATAACTTGTATAATAGAGGGTGCATGTGGGAATGTGAATTACATGGCTCGTAGCAAGTTTGGAGAAGAACAGGCTTGGATTCCTGTGCTTGGTCTCAATTTCCTGGGGACTGACAGATCTGAGTTAAATACAGTATACTGTGAAGAAACGTGGCTTCAGTAATGACTGCTGATTCTAGATATAGGAGCCTACAGAAAATGACCCCTATACCCACATATGTTTTACTCACCAGCATCGCCGTAGATGAATTTCTGTATTGATTCCAGTGTTTCATTCTGAAAAAATTCGGCAACACACTCAAAACGGTTCAAAGGGTTGAACCATTCCTGGGCTGAGATCCTCAGTCGGCTGGTCAATGAGTAGGTACTCTCATTCCGTGTAGAAAACTCATCTGTTCCCACCCCTTCTGTCCTTTTAGCACCATTCACCTTCCAAACCAGATTCAGGTGGTCAGGATAGAAACCAGAGGCCAGGCATACCAGTGTGGCCTTGCTCTTCTGTTGGATCTCTTGCTTTGATGGGGAAAAGATGGCCACAGCTGGAGGTATCATTTCATCGTCCTTCCCTGAAATGCAAAGCAGTATGGCCCAGAGCCTTTGCGTCCATATGTCTAAATATCAGGCCATGTGGGTTTTTTGTAGAAATGTGTGTGTTGGAGACTAGATGCTGAATTCAAGATTTAATGTGACCTATAGTGCTGAGCATGCAGGATCATGATCTTCAGTATAAAAGACAATTATATTTACATTAAATTTTAATTGTCTTTCCAACATAGTATGTACTAAATATACCATGCTATATATGCCATTTAAATCAAAATACATAGGTTATTTGAACATAATGTGGCTTCAGGATTTAATATAGGTACAAAGCAAGTACAAACCTTTTTTCTCTGGATACTGACCAAAGAGCTGAATTTACTAAAGCTAAGGTACTAATTGAAAAAAAGAATTTAATTCTCTGGTTTCTTATGCTAAGTTATACAATGATCACGTGGCAAACTGAAACTCTGCATTCATCCTCTATTGTCTTTGTCTCTTTCTGTGTATGTCTATCTCCTCAGGTCCTGAGTCAAGATTTATCTGAAATTTGTTTGTTTATTTCATCTCAATCTGTCCCTTCGCTTTATCCTACATTTTTAAAAATAAAAATAAACAAGCAAACTGATGCCTCCAAACCTATAATCTACAAAATTTTTAAGCTACAAAGTTTCCCAAAGGAACCAAGAGTAAATGTGTTTTGTTATTTAGCAGAGAAATAGCAGGCCATGCTTTCTTACCCGAGTCAGTCAGCTAAGTTCCTGTCAAAAATGTTGCTCATATCCAGAGTACAAAGAGAAAATAGAGTAATAAATCCCACATCCCACACACCTATTGAGCAAAATAAAAATTTAAATTCTGAAGTCTTGTTTCTGCACTGCTAATACCATTTCCACTCTGCTTGAGGAAAAATAAGTGTGCTAGATACTTGGTGCCTTCTCTTGGTGCCAAAAAGACACAAAGTACAAGTTTATTAGACTATGAAAAGAAGAAACACTTCAACTGTGTTTCTCATGCCAATGTCACAGGACCTGTCAGCTCCATCATTTCTATAAAAAATATTTCTTATTTTTTTCCTTGCATATAAACTCACAGCAATGCAGAAAAAAAATGAGATCAGAAAAAACCAGGGTTAAATGCTTGGCAATAATTCCTCTTGCCAAAAGTCTGTTTGTGTCTGAAAATATGAATGCTTGAGTGTTATGGTTCCATGTGTGCGTTATGTAAGAATATTTCCCCTGCTGCGGAAATGTTCTGTGATATGTCTTTTTTAATTCAGATTCCTCCCATTTATATTTTCTTACATCCTCATGGATGGCTTTACAGAATTATCTCCCACATCAGCATTTATAGTTTTTCCTGATTTTCTTTTTCAGATTCATTTGACTATTTCCTTCTCCGCTCTTTCTCTTTTCCCATCTATCTGCTAGGAATCCAGTGTATACATCTGAAATCTGAGTAGCCAAACAGCATGGCACACAGCTAGAGATGTCATGGTAAAAATAATTTTAATGCCTCTAAATAGCGCGTAAGAAACCAGACTGAAACTAAAAATGGAGGGTGGAATTTTGACTCTAATGAAGTTAGTGGAAGCTTTATCACTCATTTCAATGAAACTAGCAGTTTAACATTTGGCTTCCTATTGTCGCTTCCTGGATCCAGTGTTACAGTTCAGGGTCAGCGCTAGCTTGCCTACACGTATCTTGTCTGTCATTAATAAAGCACTTTATTGTCTGGTGCTGTACTGTGATACCAATAGCCTCACAATTTTTAGGAATCATGATACATATTTTTAAGATCTAGTCTCTTTCATTTGGACCCTCTATCACTTACTTTCCCTCCAACCTCCACATCTTTTGCCAATTCCTTATGAATACCTGTATGTCCTTCCCAGTCCTACTTCTTCTGCCTTTTTCGTGAACACATATTCCATTTGGATATGACAGTGGGAAATAGATTGCAGGAATAAGAGGGAATCATATTGATGAGTACATTCAGTAGGCAATTTAATTCTGGGGAAAAGACTTGATCAGTCACACATTTCATTTCTGCTAGAATAGAGCCAGTAGACCCAGTGAACACTGAGTAGATCTCTGGGAGTTCTGCATTGTAGAGGTAGTACATGTTTTTCTAGAATACACTTATCTGACTTGAGGTCTCTTCTTTGGTCATGTCTCATCCTCCTCACTCCCTTCAGTTTATTCTATTAAGCTTGCTTACTAGCTTTCTCCACAGTTTTATTAATCTGAAAAATCAACACCAAACTGTCCTATTCACAGGGCAAATTTAGTAACAATAATCAATGGGTTAATTTGTCCCCTTCTTCTTCACAGACCCTACTATCTCCCTCTTTCTTGACCTGTCTTTCTTGAAACACCATCTGTAGCCTTCTTGGTGAAGCTCTGCTGACTCGATCCCTTCCACTGCATTATTTTTTCTTACCTAGAACAGTGAGCCATGTTCCTTTTTCAAAATACAGTATTACTGCTGACCTTCATATAAAAATTGTCTGAGGAGCTTGTTCTCTCTTTGTCCTCCTTGTTGGCACAAAATTTCTATTTCCTAATCTACCATACCCAGAAAAGCCACTCCTGAAAGATTCCCCACCCTTGAAAGAGCTGGAGATGCAGTATGCTAATTCATTTAGATAATGTCTACAGCATTGAAATACCAAGACCACAGGGAAGACCCTGTTCATCCTTCCCTTGCAGTCCTTCACTCCCTTTCTTCCTTTTCTTTCAAGCTTGACAAAAAAGTATTTGCATTTAATTTGTTTTGACATTAAGCATCTTCTTCCCCATGAACCTACAAATAACTGCTTTTAGGCATGGGATTTAGCAAATCCCTGACTGTTAAGAGTGCCAGACAATGACTTTTTGACTTTTTTTTTTTTAAGGCCACTTATCATCATATGTCCTACTATTTCACAGTCCCACAGCCTGACATTTGCTAACATCCCTTACTCAATTCTGCAGAATTTTTAATCACCTAATTGGAAATTCCTTACCCATGCACACTCCTTCCAATAATTCATACAATGATCAGGTGCTTAACCCACAAAATCTGTTTTCTCCTCTCCAATAATTAATGTTGTGCCTGCTTCAAGTGATGAGAGATCCAAAACTAGATGTCCTTTTCAAGGTAAAGTTTTATTATAGCCACCAGAAAAAAAATCCTGCTATATGCATTTCTTGGGAGATACTGATTCAGATATGCAAATACTGGCTCCCACAGGAAGGTCCGTACCTCTGGCATGTGCTAACAAAAACATTCATCAAGGAGAGTTAAAGAGAATTGACAAACGCATTCAGTTTTGCTGTCAGCCTCTACTTATTAGTGTAGTTACTGAGGTCTGTTGTCTGAAGTGGAGAGGGAAACTAAAAAAAAAGCCGCCTCCATCAACTCCC